GGCTATTTTAAAAATCCTCAGTAGTAGCACGGAATCTGGAATTATGTCCGGTACATGGCAATAGGCTCACCTTTCTATTACATGGGACTCGTAATATAAATAGTGAAAAGTGGGTGTCACATTGTACAGTGGCATTAAGTGCTATAATGTGCCGACCTCTTCGGGGATAAAAGGCGTGGTGACAAGAGAGACTTCGTTTAACTTTAGCCCATAATCGATAAACTTACCTATTATTAGCTTAATCTGTAGATCAAGTCGCGGAGAACCTAACGGGTAAACGGGGCTCCGGCTCGACGTGCAGGAGAAGGAACGGGGTGGTTTTTAGTCAGTAGGAGTCTGACACTCCCTCCCGCCTCACCCAGGCGTGAGGCGCAACCGTACACTAACACTTACGATTACTACGCTTAAAAATCACATTTAAATCTAAACATAATGAATGGGTTCGTCCTTCTAGGCTTCCTATCGCATGCTAGACCCAACTAAAGTAGAAACTCATGCGTGTATGAACAATATTTACATAAACACATTGAAATAAACTTAACGCTAGTTTGAATTATAGTTTGAGTGGTCTCAACGTGAATTACGCTACGTTTCATATTTCTTTTACTTAGTGAAATGCTTGAAGTGTATATGAATTTAAATTGCATTTATTTATTGTTGAAGAAACTGTTTTGTGTGTGTGTATGTGTGTGTGCTGTTTATATTATATTGCACTAGACTTGTGACTATATTTAACTTGAATTATAGATGTTCTTTAGGTAGAATTTATATGAAATAGTTTTCAGAAAGTACATTCTATTGCTTTGTACAAAAGTTTTATAAATGACGAAATGTGTAACTATATATGTATGAAGTAAGTAGGTAGAACTTAGTCATTTAGAAATCTCTTATCAAACATTCATGTGTCTACTTTAATCAGTATTTTTTATTACTTACAGACTTTAAATGACTATACTCGAAATCTAGCAATCTATATATATAAAAGAAAGTCGTGTTAGTTACACTATTTATAACTCAAGAACGACTATATCGATTTGGATGAAAATTGGTGAGGATGCAGCTTAGAACCAGGAGACGGACATAGGATACTTTTTACCCAATACTTTTTTTACTTACCGAAAATCAAGAAAGGGTACGGGAAATATCGGGATTGCGCGTACGAAGTCGCGGGCAGAAGCTAGTATCTCATAAAACCTAAATATTTACACAATTAAATTCTTATAGTTTTTAAGCACATTGCATTAGGATAAACTGCCACAAATAATAGAAGATTCTTTGTATACATAATAATAATATATATATGTCGGGGATACGCTACCAGTGGGTCGCGACATTGTCGAATCACACCAAATTATTGATAATTTAGTAAGAACGCAGGAAGTTTAGCGGGGAGTAACGCTTCTAGCTGCCGCCACCGTCGCGATCCTTTCCAAAAGTGTTTCCCGCGCTCAGTGACGTCTGTCAACGTCATTTGCTGTCAAATGTCAAAGTCTGATTAAACTTCCGGATCGATATTTCCATCGATGTTGCCATTAATCCGGGCTAACTATCCTCAAGTAATTACATGACGTTCTCAAACAATAGTTGCCACATCTAAATTAATTGATATGCGTTGACGCTTCGACATATATATATATATATATATATATATAATGTGGGGATTAATTGACCAATAAAACAGCGGAATATATAAAAACTTTTCTTTTATTTTCAAAACAATCTGTACTTATCAAGTACAATAAAACTTTACCTAGCATTCGTTCGTTTTAACAATGAAAAATTACAAGGTTCTTAATAATATTAGTTATTTACTTGACACCTTACAATTTGATGCGTCTATGAAATTAAGTAAATGAAACTTTATCAGCTAAACAATAGAGTTGACATTTATTTATAATGACTTATCACAGAAAGGCTGTTCTCGCACTATGACCATTTCTCATTGGCAATGGCATCCTAATGGAAAATAAACCTTATTTGTACAAAATATTGGGTAGAAATGATATGTGGTTTAGGGATGCCTCTTAGGTCCAATATTTGTTTCATAAATATCTACTACTATAGGAATTTATTATAAGATCTTAGGATAGGTTTCCCGTCAATGTCGATTGGAATGACGGACGGATTTTAAGGGTATAGGTATTTATCTATAATTATATTTACAAATTTCCAAAATCATAGTATGAGAACAGCCCTAACATTAATATACAAAAAATATATACAGAGAAAATACAACACTAAATGTAGCTATTCATTATATTAACATTTCATTTAAATTACATTTAATTTATATTTCATAAATTAGGCTTCTAAGAAGGAGGCCGTTATACAAATATTTAATTTTGAAATTATAAATATTTATTTATTGAATACAGTTACACAATTAATTTAAGTAAATTAATAAACATAATATTTGTATATGTAGAGGTATAATGAATGCAAATGCATTTTTAATAATAAATTAATTCAGAAATATTTGAAATATTATTTACAGTTATTTATATATTATAGAGGAATTTGTTTATTTAGGATTGAACCTGATATTTACAAATCTAGAATGTATGTTTTTTTTTCAAAACTACGAGTAAAGTGACGCAGAAATTTTAACACAAAAACTATAAATTAATAATATTATACAAATCTTTGGACTAACTTATTATCAAGACTTCGTTACTTACAATTTTTTCACCATACCTTCATTTTGTTGTTTTTTATTAAAGTCATAAGTATGGCAATTACAACAATAACCCTTCCATATTCTTCAATATTGTTCTTTATTCCTTCATCAATCGGGGATTGTCATTGGGAGCAGTTTCATAGTGCAAATACAGGGTGTAGTATAAAGGAATGCTCCTGATAACGCCGACAGGTGATGATGAAAAACAAGTTTTATTTCCATAAAAGGCATACATAACATTGACATATTTCATCATAT